TTGTAGCACAGCAGGTTAAGCTGCTGCTTGTGACGCCGACAGCACATATTGGAGCATCTGTGTGAGTCCTGGCTGCTCCACTTCGAATCCAGCTTCACACTAATGCACCTGTAAAGGCAGAAGTTGATGGCCCAAGTGCCCGGGCCCCTGCCACCCACATAGAAGACCCAGATGGAGTTCCGGGCTCCTGGCTTTGACCTGGCCCAGAAAGCAACCTGGATAGCAATGTTCTGACAAAGCCTCCCGGCTAACCTTGAACAGTAACCTCGGCCTCAGTGGCGGGAGGGGGTGGTTTGAAGGGGGACGGGGAGGGAGGAGCCGATGAAAGGACTAAAGGAGATCATGTGTATGGCAGGGAGGGCTTGCGGAATGGAAGCCACTTCTCTTTAACTGTTTCCCGGCACTGCTGGGGACAAGCTGGCAGGAAGGTCATTGTGCTTGGTGATGGGCCTTGGGTTGAAATTACTCTCCAGCCATCTCTCCCAAGTTCCCTCTGTTCTGAATACACCTGCAGGAACAAGCTCTTCCTGACTTCCTGGTGTTGGCCCTGGCGTTCCCAGGGCAGGAATTCCTTTGTGTCCTTTTGCTGCCTGAAAAACAGCAGCAACAATCCTGGAAGACCCAGCTCCACCTTCATCTCCTCTCTGAGGTCCCACCTGGTCCCCCAGTGAGCAAGTCCTCACAGCCTTGGGAATGCGCTATCCCCCCACTCCCCCAGCCGAGACTGCATGGCCCCACCCGAGGCTCCTGAGGCCCTAACCATGGCCCCAGCACTTAGAAAGCGCTTGCTTCCGGGGCAAGTGCTGTGGCTTAGCAGATAAAGCTCCGGCCTGTTGTGTGGCATCCCATATGGGCGCTGGTTTGAGTCCCGGCTGCTCCACCTCCGATCCAGCTCTCTGCTATGACCTGGGAAAGCAGTAGAAGATGGCCCAAGTCCTTGGGCCCCTGCACCCACGTGGGAGACCTGGAGGAAGCTCCTGGCTCCTGGCTTTGGATAGGCACAGCTCCAGCTGTTGCGGCTAATTGGGGAGTGAACCAGGGGATGGAAGATTCTCTCTCTCTCCCTCCCTCCCTCCCTCCTATGAGGACTTGGAACTGCAGGAAATAGGAACATCAGGCAGTGAAGCGGGCAGTCCCCAGTGCCCGGGGCCTCCCTGTGACTTGAGCTCTCCTTCCTCTGGGCAGCTCAAGGCCAGCAAAAGGAAACCAGGACAGATGCATGCCCCTGTGTGGGGCTGTGACTCTTCCTAATTGCAAATAAGCCAGGCTCATCCTAATTGCAAATAAGCCAGGCTCAACCCCAGCGAAAGCTCTGTTCTAACTGAGCCTGCTCTCCTGACAGCCCGAGGCTGGCAGCCAGTGCGGGGGCTGTGGAGGAGAGGGGAGGGAGGAGGAAGAGGAGGGGGGGAAATGGCCCTTGTGCCCCAGCTGGCTGGTCCAGCAGACAGCTGGAGGGGCCCTCCTTCCTGTGAAGGGACCTGGCTCAGGGCTCAGCCCTCTGAGCCTGCCATCTCCCCAGACCACAGCCCAGAGGTGTGAAAGAATGAAAAATAACGTGGGGAGGGGTGGCCAAGAAGAGCCAGGTGCACATTTCACACCTTGACCACAGGTGGGGCCCCGAGCAGCTTCGCTCTGACTAACTTCCTCCTCAGGCTTCCCTGCTGGCTGCTCTGGAGGGCCCGAGCACAGGGCACAGGGGTTAGACAGCAGGGGCGAGCCCTTGGCTAGGCGGCTGTCCCCAAGGGCTGGGCCTGGCTCAGACCCGGCCTGGAGGCTGCTTGGCACCAGAAAAGACCATATGAGAGGGCTGGGTAAGGCCTGGCTCAGCCCCACCACACGAGACTCTTCCAAGGCTTCTTAGCCGTGAAGGACAAAGGAAGCCAGCCACAGACCTGCCACTGCAGGGCTTGGGAGGGGATTGGTTTAGAAACTCCCTGCAGGGGGCGGAGACTGTTGCTCCTACGCTGTGCCAGATACTTTCGACATGTATCTTTTGCAATCCACAGAGCAACCCTATCTAAGGTGAACTCTCATTAGACCCAGTTTTCAGATGAGAAAACTGAGGCAGAGAGGTGAAATGCTTTGCCCAGGATTACTCAGCTGGGCA